ACCTGGGCAGGGAGAAGAGAAGTAAGGGCCAAGCAGCAGTGACTGGTCCATCTGCCCCTCACCAGGGACCTGGCACCTTGTTGATGCCTCCTTTTCACCAAGGAGGCTCAGAAGCAAACAGCCACCCAAACCCCAAGCCTGTCGTGTCTTGTGGGGGCCTCAGCCCCTCAAACAGCCTGGCACTTGCTCCCTGTCTGCTACCTTCCCTGACCTCTGTGCCTCTCTCTCACTAGAAAACTTCTGCTGGCTGGAGACTCATTGGCTTATTTAGACCGCAGTCCTTTTCATCTTTAAGATCGCTTCTCTTCCTGTCTCTTAACCCTAAACCCGATGCCTTCTGACAGCCTCTCCTCCTTCACCCCATCTCACACGAAGAGGCAGGTGGCCCTTCTCCTTGCCAAGGCCCCTCTCTGCCTGTGCAAGCAATCCCATTCCATCTCAACCTGTCTTCTCCAACACACCGCCCCCTCGACTGTCTGCACTCTCTCATTACTCCTCAGTCTCAAGAACAGATTAATAAAATTGCGGGTAAGAACACCATCAAACTAATAAATAAAACTAGGAGCTGGGTTTATGAAAAAATTGATAAAAATAGATAAACCATTGGTTAATTTAATTAAACAAGAAAAAGAAAAACAAATTGCCAGTATAAAAAGTGAAAAGGGTGAATTCACCACCAATGAAGATGAAATTAAAGCAATTATTAGGAGCTATTTTGCCCAATTATATGTAAATGAATCTGACAATCTAAGCGAAATGGGTGAATACTTATAAAAATATAAACTGCCCAGATTAACAGAAGAGGAAATAGAATGCCTAAATAACCACATCTTAGAAAAAGAAATTGAACAAGCCATAAATGAGCCTCCTAAGGGAAAAAAAAAAACCCAGGACCAGATGGATTCACAAGTGGATTCTACCAAACATTTAAAGAACAATTAATTCTAATACTATATAAAACATCTGGGAAAATAGGCAAAGAAGGAGTCCTACCAAATTCATTTTATAACACAAGTAGGGTACTAACACTGAAACCAAGAAGAGCCAAAACAGAGAGAGAAAACTACAGACCAATTTCCCTAATGAATATTGCTGCAAAAATTTTAAGTAAAATACTAGCAAGGAGATTATCACAATACAGCACAAGGATTATACATTATGATCAGGTGAGATTTTTTACCAGGAATGCAGGAAAATTATCAGCATAATTGATCGTATCAATAACAAAACCAACAAAAATCATATGATTATCTCAATAAATGCAGAAAAAGCTTTTAAGGAAATACCACACTCATTCCCATTAAAAACACTAGAGAGTATAGGAATAAATGGAGTTTTCCTTAAAATGATAAGTAGCTTCTATCTAAAACCATCAGCAAGCATCATCTGCAATGGAAATAAGCTAGAAACCTCCCCAATAAGATCAGGAATGAAGCAAGGATGCCCATATCATCACTATTATTCAATATGGTACTAGAAATGTTAGTTTTAGCAATAATAGAAGAAAAAGAAGTTGAAAGGATTAAAATAAGCAATGAGGAATCAAAACTATCCTTCTTTCCAAATGATATGATGATATACTTAGAGAATCAACTAAAAAACTAATTGAAATAACTAACATTAGCAAAGTTGCAGGATATAAAATAAACCCACATAAATCATCAGCATTTCTGTATATTACTAACAAAGTCCAGCAGAAAGAGGTAGAAAGGGAAATTCTGTTTAAAACAACTGTAGACAATATGTATTTCTTGAGAGTCTACCTGCCAAGACAAACCAGGAACTATATGAACACAATTCCAAAACACTTTCCACACAAATAAAAGTTAGATCTAAACAATTGGAAAAACAGCAATTGCTCATAGGCAGGCCAAGCCAATATAATAAAAATGACAATTCTACCTAAACTAATTTACTTATTTGGTGCCATATCAATAAAAGTACCAAAAATTCTTTTATAGAGCTAGAAAAATAATAACAAAATTTATCTGGAAGAACAAAAGGTTAAGAATATCAAGGGAATTAATTTTTTAAAATGTAAAGGAAAATAATCTAGCCATACCAGATCTCAAACTGTATTATAAAACAGTAATCATCAAAACAATCTGGACAGGGCAGCTAGGTGGCACAGTGGATACAGCACTGGCCCTGAAGTCAGGAGGATCTGAGTTCAAATCCAACTTCAGACCAAACACTTGACACTTACTAGCTGTGTGACCCTGGGCAAGTCACTTAACCCCAATTGCCATAAAAAATAAATAAATTATCTGGTGCTGGCTAAGAAAGTAGTGAATCAGCACACTAGATTAGGTACACAAGACACACTAGTAAAATGACTATGGCAATTTAGTGTTTGATAGACCTAAAGATCCCAGCTTTTGGGACAAGAACTCACCATTTGATAAAAATTGCAGGGAAAACTAGAAAACAGTATGGCAGAAACGAGGTATACACCAACATCTCACACCATTTACCAAGATAAGGTCAAAATGGGCAGATGATTTAGACACAAAGGGTGATACCATAAACAAATGAGGGGAGCATAAAAAAAATTTACCTGTCAGATCTATGGATAAGGGAAGAATTTAGGACCAAACAAGAGATACAGGGCATCACAAGATAAAAAATGGATAATTATGAGTACATTAAACAAAACCAGTGCAGCCAAGATTAGAAGGAAGCAGGAAATTGGGGAGTGTGGGGGTAGGAAGTTTTACTGCAAGCTTCTTTGATAAAAGCCTCATTTCTCAAATATACAGAGAACTGAGTCAAATCTCTAAGAATATAAATCATTCTCCAATTGATAAACGGTCAAAGGGTATGAACAGTTTTCAAAGAAATCAAAGCTATCTATAGCCATAGGAAAAAAATGCTCTAAGTCACTATTGATTAGAGAAATGCAAATTAAAACATCTCTTAAGATACCACCTTACATCTATCAGATTGGCTAATAATGCAGAAAAGCAAAACGATAAATGTTAAAGGGCTATGGGAAAATTGGGACACTAATACACTGTTGGTGGAGTTGTGAATAGATCCAACCATTCTGGAGAGCAGTTTGGAACTATGCCCAAAGGGCTATAAAACCACATATACCCTATCTCCCAAAGAGATCATACAAATGGGAAAAGGACCCACGTGTACAAAAATATTTATACTAGCTCTTTTTGTGATGATAAAGAATTGCCTATTGAAGAGACATCAATTGGGGAATGACTGAACAAGCTGTGGAATGTGATTGTGATGGAATATTATTGTGCTATATAAAATGATAAGCAGGATGATTTCAGAAAAACCTGGACTTACGTGAATTGATGCAGAGTCCCCTTATCTGAAGCCCCATGCCTGCTAACCATATGTGTCCCTCAGGACTGTCCTGGGCCCTCTTCACTGCTTCACTGGGTGATCCCATCAGCTCCCATGAGCTTAATGACCATCTCCATGCTATGACTCTCAAATTTACTTATCCATCTCTGTCCACCTCCAACCTCACATCTCCAATTATCTATTGGACATCCCCTTGACAACTTAAATTGGCCTCGTCTAAAACTCAACATTTTTGTCCCCAAACCCTCCTCTCTTCCTTACTTCCCTCTCACTGTCAAGTGCAGCCCCATCCTGCCAGGCCCTCAGGCTCCCAACATGGGAGTCATCCTTGATCTCTCACTGCCACCCCCTCATTGGTTGCCAAGTCCTGTCCAGTTTGCCTTTATAATATCTCTCAAATACTCCTCCTTCTTTCCTCTGATGCTGCCTTTACCCCAGTGCAAATCCTCATCTCCTCATGCCTGGGCTATTGTCATAATAGCCTATGAGCTGGTCTCTCCCCACTACAGTCCATCTTCTATTCAGCTGCCTAAAGTTCAGGTCTGACCTTGTCATCCCCTCCTCAATAAACTCCAGTGGCTCCCCATTACCCCCAGGATCGAAGCCCTTTATCACCAATTACACACACACACACACACACACACACACACCCCTTTCCAGTCTCTTACACCTCATCCCACCTGCTTCCTCCACACATTATTGAATCCAGTGACACTGACCCTCCTGGCTTGCTGTTCCTCAGACAAGGTGGTCCATCTCTGGACTCTGGGCCTATTCTCTAGCTGACTGCCTTCCCCCCCCACTCCAGCTGGAATGCTCTCCTTATCTCCACTTCCCGGCTTCCTTCCAGCCCACCTTCTACAGGAAGTCTTTCCTGATCCCCTTTACTTCTACAGCCTGCCCTCTGTTGATTATCTCCAGTTTGTACCACTTGTTTGCATGTTGTCTCCCCCATTAGACTGGAAGCTCCAGGAGGGTAGGAGCTGTCTTTTGCCTCTTTGTATCTCCAGTGCCTAGCTGAGTGCCTAGCAAGTGGTAGGCACTTAATTCTTGTTTGTTAACTGACTGACTTCAGTATTTTATTCTTGATTCCTTCCCATCCCTCTTAGACTGCCCTATCCTATAGAACTTCAAGGCTTTCTCCAAAATCCTCCCCAAAGATCCAGAGTGCATATCAGGCCATGCCCGGCTCTCCTCTCTTCCTGATCACAAATTGTGGATAAGAATCAGATGCTGACTTTCTCCTCATGGGCTCTTCCACTTCTTTAGGAGTTAACAGCAAGGCATCAGTCACAAAGGCCGACGCTCGTGTGCAATGAAAGTTCTTTTCAGAGAAGTTTCTTTTTTGTTTTGTCTAGGCAATGGGGTTAAGTGACTTGCCCAGGGTCACACAGCTAGTAAGTGTTATGTATCTGAGGCTGGATTTGAACTCAGGTCCTCCTGGATCCAGGGCCAGTGTTCTATCCACTGAGCCACCTAGCTGCCCCTAGAGAAGTTTCAATAGAGTGGTGTGGACAGTGGCCTGATGAAGGAGTGAGGAAAGGGTGGCCGTCTGAAGAGCTTGGGGGGGGAGGCGGTGCCTCACAGGAGAACACTAAAAGATGGCTCTAGAAGGGGGACAGTTGAGCCTGTCCGTATTTAGATGAGCCAGTATTTGATCTGCCCTCCTCCAGGTCCAGCGGCATACATGCTGCCAATGGTGATGGGGCCGCACACTGTGGGCAAAGTCTCCCAGCCCTCCTTCTCCATCAAGGGCCGGAGCAAGCTGGGGGGATTCAGCCAGGACCTTCACAAGGCAAGTGGTCCCCTCAGAGTTCTTCCCCATAGTTCTCTGGGTCCCCTGACAAGGGCTCAGCAGGCCCAAATGTCACTCCCCTCACTTCCCAGTAACCCACATCAGGGCAAATGGGATACAGTCACAGTGACAGGATCTCCCTGGAGGAACCTCTCTGTCCACTCTCTTCCCCCATTTGTTGGACTTAGAGTGGCACGCGTGCGCACGCACACACACACCCCAGCAGCACTTTGGGGTCTTAAACCCTCCTCCAATCATTTCAGGGAAGTCAACATGACCATCACAGCCCCTACAAAGAGACAGGCCTGGGGGCCCATGGTCACCTCCTTGGCTGCTGTCCAGACCAGAACTCCCCAGACAGAGGGCAACGGCACCTGGGCTGCCAATCCCTCTGGGTTTTGTCTTTTTGTACAGACTCCAGGCCCTGCCGCCTATCGACAGACCGATATCCAGGTGGTGAAGTACAAGGCCCCACAGTATACCATGGCTGCCCGAATTGAGGCAGTAGGAGATAAGACGATGAAGCCAGGCCCAGGCGCTCACAGCCCAGAGAAGGTTTGGGGGCTGGGCTGGGCATGGGCAGGGTTAGCAGGCTGCGATGGTGCAGGGAACAAGAGCAGGGACCTCACAATCCAGGACCTCCTTCTCTCTCTCCTCCCAGGTGACAATGAACAAACCCAGCGCCCCTTTCCTCAGTTTCGGGATCAAACATTCCGACTACATGACTCCTCTCATTCTGGATGTGGAGTAAACCTTTCCCCATGCCTGGGGGTAAGGTGCTCTGGCTGCCTCCCAGACTCCATCATGATCCTTCTGACCACAAATTTGCCTTTTAACTGAGGGAGACGCTCTTCAGGTGATCAGAGAGTTCTCCTTCTTTCAATCAAGTGACAGTGTTGGCCATGCTGGGCACCCTGGACCAGAGCCACGCATGCTCAGAAACTGTGAATGTCATTTATTTTTTTTCTATGACAGAGTGTATGTTTATTATTCGTGCTTCCTGCTGTGCCTGGATGTTTAATAAATCACCCATTATATCTGCCGTGGAGGCCCAGTGTGCTGACATGAAAAGAAGGGTCCCTTGGCAAGTTTCACCTGCCAGAACCTTTGCCTCAGGTCTGAGAGAGAGGGATGGAAGGGCAGGGCACCCCAACCAAACTGCTGGACCCCAAGGTGATCCAGGTATCTCTAGGTGCTGCTCCCAGAGAGAGGAGGAAGCCTCACTGAGGGCCTACACCCAGACATAGCTCTGAACTGACACAGTGCAAAGGAAGGCAAGAGTTGGTTGTGGTTTGAACCATCCCCCTCTTCTCTTTGGCCCCCTGCAAAACCCCTGGAGAGTCTTTGAAGGATATCCCACAGTTCGAGGTGGAGGGAACCCACCCCAGGTGAGTGCTCTAAGCCTGCCACCCCCGACCCCCCAGCCCCAGAACTGGTGCGTGTTTAGGGTTAGAGTTTGAAGACCTCCACCAGCAGGAAGGAGCCCCCTTCCTCCTAAGGCCACTCCAACCTTTGGCATGCTCATCAAGTCCTCTAGCTTTTTCCTTAAATTAAGCTGGGATCTGTCCATCACTCCTAATTCCAGCCTTTAGGGTAAGGCAGAGAGAGCCAACTTACTCTTCCACTGGGCAGGCTTTCAAATACTTGAAGTTAACTTCACCCGGAGCCACCTCTTTTCCAGTCCTTTCAACCAGGCCCCAAGAGGAATGATCCCCAACTCAGTTTCTTTCATCAACCTGAATGCAGTAAATAGCTCTGAAGAAGTCTGGCCAGGGAAGAGCACAGAGTGATCCTCATTTTAGTCCTTAAGACTTGTCTCTGTGCAGGATCTCCCCACCCCTCCCTCTTCCTCCCTCCCATCGATTCATCCTCAGCTCACACTAGACTAAAACTACTCTCTAGATCTGTCTCCTTATCTTATAGCACCAAGGTTGATTTTTTTGAACTCATGTAAAACTTTAAATTTATGTCTGTTAAATCTAACTTGTTAACTATGCCTCCTAGCTTTGTGGACCAACTGCAAATTAGATAAGTGTGCCATCTCTGCGTCATTGATAAATATATTCAACAGGGCGGAGCACAGACCCCTGAGGCCCTTCACTGGAGACCTCTTTCCAAGTTGACATTGAACCATTAATGACTACTCTTTAGGTCAGGTCACTCAGCCAGTCCTGAAGCTCTATCTCTCCATCTTATTTAAGTCAAGCACTTGACCAAAATCTAGGTAAAGGCTATCAATAACATTCCCATGATCTATCAGTTTGTGACCATGGCAGGTTCTTTGTGATCACTGCTTCCTTTTCTACAAGTTCACTAGCCATCCCTTTAATATCTTCTTGAATTTTGTCAGTAATCAAAATGAAGCTCCCTGGCCTACAGTTTGAAGATTCTATTTTCTTTGCTTTCTTGGGAGAGCCACATAACTTTTGCCCCCTTTCATTCTCCAGGGTTACCATCATCACTGATGGGGTACAGGCTCTGGAAATCCCCCCTCCTTGAACTCTCCTTGAATTTCCCTGCAGGATCAAGTCTCTGGCGTTGTAGCCTGAGGCCATAATCCCTTTCGCTATAGCCTAATCTCTCAATTCTTTTACCCACTACAGTCTGTTACCTCCCGATAGCCCCTGGCTATTCCCCACTCTTGTTCCTATCTAGACCCCATTCTCTTGGTCCAGGTCCCCAGTGTTTGACCTCCCAGTCACCCCAGTCTACTGGCCACTCATAGATCCCTCCCAGTCTTTTTGTATATAAGATCCATCTTGCCCCCATTAAGGTGCTCAGATTTAATCTGTCCCGCTTGCATTAGGGATACAAATGTTTAGATTCCTTAAGTCTGGCCAATATGGTGGATTTTTAATAAACCTTGTCTTTGGCTGAAAGAAGGTCTGGGTCTTCATTCAGGCAAGACCCATATGTCGCTATTTTGGGATCCCAGCACCCCTAGACTTCAACATCACCACCACACGTATATAGCACCTTCAGGTCTGTCTATCTCTTTCCTCACAAGGTCAGGTCATCAGTAAAAGTATTATTCTATATTTTACAAATGACGAAACTGAGAATCCAAGAAGTTATGCAATTTGACCATCCTCACATAGCCACTCCAGACATAGGTCAATGTGATTCAAACCCAAATTCCTCCAGACCAAGCACTATCATGCCAAATTTTGCTAAGCAACTTAAAAATCACAGTTCCAGGTTCTCTGAGCCCCAAGAATGTAGCTCCTCTGGGCCAAGTGGCAATCCAAACCCATCAAAAGCAGTTTGGTGCTGACCACTTCCTTATTCATCTTGGATTTCAACTCCCTATTAGCCATTTCTGCCCATTCAGAGGTGATTTAGGGCTTTTTGAAACCTATCTACCTTGGACAGGGGACCTTACCCTTCCACTAAGGAAGGCCCCTTGGGCATTGGTTGGACTTAGAATCACAGGGCTGTAATGGATTTTCAGAGGTGTTTAGTCCAACCCACATCTGAACAGGAATCTTCATTAAGCATCCCTGACAAGCGTCCAACCATCCTCTGCTGGACCTCCCTCCAATGAGAGGTCATATTCCACTTTGAGAACTCAAATTTATATTTCCTTACATCCAAACAGAAGCACACATATTACTGATCACTGAGAGGATGAGAGCCTAGGATCTCTATTCGATTTAATCCTGGAAGCTGTAATTCCCATGATGCAGCCTATAATATCAGCATTGGGGCAGCCATATTACACTATTGGTATGTTTCATACCAAGATTGCAGTCCACTCCAACCCCCAGATCTTTTCCTTACAAACTGCTAACAAACCTAGCCTTATTATCTCCCATCTTGTAAGTTTGAAATTGATTTTTGGAAACATTTAAATATACTTCATTTGATTAGATTCAGCCCAGGGCTCTAATCCAAGTTCAACTAAAATTAAATTCTATAAGCTTGCAGCCACTGACAAAAATGTGAAAACTGCCCAGAGCCACGAAGAGATCTAGAGCACATGCCACCGATTACTCTTTGGATTCAGTTCTGAAACCACATCTCGATCTTTCCCAAAAGAACAGAATGAAACTGTAAAAATGCTTTGCCAAAAGGTGGATAAATTCTATCTATGTCATGCTCCCAACCAACCAGTGTGATAACCGCAAAAACAGGGGAAAATGCATGCTACAAAGGACCTGCTCTTAGAGAGGGCTGTTTGTTAGTGCTGTGAACACACTGCTTCTTTTTCTAAAGTATCCCTTTGATAAGGCCCTAGAATTTTGCCAGGACTCAGTCACTTACTGGTCTATAACTTGAAGGCTCCACTATCTCCTCTTCTTTCAGCTGCTTTTTTTTTTCCTGTGGTGAGGCACTTGGTGTTAAGTGACTTGCCCAGAGTCACACAGTCAGTGAGTATTATGTGTCTGGGGCTAGATTTGAGCTCAGGTCCTCCTGACTCCAGGGCTGCTGCTCTATCCACAGCTCCACCTAGCTGCCCCACCCTCTTCCTTTTTCTGAAAATTTGCCATTTTCCACACAGGCAGGCAGTACCTGTCCCAATCTCGTGCTCCCTCGAAGATGATATCGGTGGTGCTAGCAATCCCATCTGCCAATTCTTTCCCTACCTGAGGTTGGAATTCATTTGAGTCAGGAGACAAGTTCACCAAAGACTGCCAGGGGCTCTTTTATTAGCCTGACTTAATTCTTTTGGATTTTAACTCCCTATTAACCACCCAAAGATCACACTCAGTGACCACAAAGACTTCTTCATCAGCAGCATCAAAGATCCTCCTTCCTCCAGAATGGAGAGGAAACCCCCTCTTTTCATTTCCTCACCAGCCGCGTTCATTCCGAGCCTTTAGCACTAGGCATTCTTCTTGCAGGAGCAGGCTGGGCATTTGGATTCATCCTCTTCCCTGTCCTGGCTTCCATCTTCTTGACATCCCATTTTGAAATCCAAGTTTTTGGCCAAGTCCCCTGAGCAGCCAATCACAACAGCATCATCAGATAATTCCCATTCCCCTGATCCTCTGATCAGAATTGTTTATAGCTTCACAATTTCACAGAACCTTACGGCACTTCAGAAGCTACTGAGTCGAGCCCATACACAATGGGAACAGCACCTACAAACACCTTGACATGCCTCCAAGGTCAAAGGCCTGCAATGAGGAACCTACTCTTAAGGCCACACTGAACCCTTTGAAATCTGTTCTCCAGGGGCAGCTAGGTGGCACAGTGGATAGACCACCAGCCCTGAAGTCAGCAGGACCCGAGTTCAAATCTGGCCTCAAACTAAATACTTGACACTTACTAGCTGTGTGACCCTGGGCAAGTCACTTAACCCCAATTGCCTAAAAAGACAAATCTGTTCTCCACAAATTAAGGGTACATGTCAGTCTCTTCCTACCTTTCCTTTACCCCAAACTCAGATGGTCACTTCTACATCAAAGTTTCCACCTTTTCCACCTGAGCCACCAGTTCCTCCTTCTTGGTAAGTCAGACCCAGATTAGAATTTCACTGCCCAGTCTCCTTTCAAAGGAAAAAAAAAATTGTCAGCGTTGACAAAGAGCTCCAGAAAGTGTCTGGATCTTTGAAGCCCCACTCCCTCCATCACTACCATCTCAGCACCTAAAGATGGTCACAGCGTGGCCCTCACCAACTTTTCTGGACGGACTTGCCTTTATCCTTGTCACACATTCAGGTGCCAGCCCAACTGGTCAACTTATTGCTCCAACTCCTTACAGGTCATTCCACCATCTGCCTGTCTTTGCACTGGCTGTCTCCTACCCCCTCGAGTGGTCTCTGTCCTCAGTCCCACGTTTGGGACTCTTAGCTCTCTTCAAGGCTCATCCTCAACACCACTTCCTCCCTGGGAATTACGGGACACAGATTTGATATTTACACACGTGTACATGTAATTTCTTCCCAGTAGAATGTAAACCCCTCGAGGGTCGATACTTTTTTTTTGTATCCCCTTTGCAGAATATGCTGTAGGTACAAAATAAATGCCTGTTGAATTGCCTGTGCAAGGTTTGTGATCGGTGTACCTGTTTCTTTTGTTCTGATGGTATACC